GGTGTCATTGAAAAGCTAAATAACAGTTCTTTCGTCCTTTTTAAAAATTGAATTGTTTAGCAAAGTCGATGATGCACGACAGCCAGTTGAATTTCCATTCATAGCGTTTTTTTAGACACCCTGTACAACTCGGTGCTACTGTTCCACTAATCCTACAATATACAATGTGTTACATTTAATGCTGATATAGGCAGACAAAACTAAACACGTTTTGACTTGATATCGACAGGATCAAGGTTGTGACTTGTGTATCCATAATTCCTGTGAGCTCCAGCACTAGTTCTATACAAAGACTTCGGTGTTGGTGCAACGGCAGAAAGCAAGTCAAGATTGATTGTGTCTACCAGCTTTTTGTCGTCACTAAAGGAGAAAAAATGGTGTGAGTAATTTGTTAGTTTGGTTAACTAAAAGATATTGAGCATTTCAATACGACCTAATGGCCACATATAGGGCAAGGAAAAATGGATCGAATTATATTTGGATAGAAATTGGATGAGAAACTTGTCCTACTCTTCCGGGCTGCATGGGTAAACAAATTTAATACATGAATGCATGTGACATTATACAAATAATGTTTATGAGTGCAATGGTAAGAATATTTTTATGAGGTGGAAGATGGGATGTTCCATTCAACGAGGCGACAGCCGAGTTGAATGGAACATAGTTCCATCTTTCACCGAATGAAAATATTCTTACCAATGCACGAATAAACATTCATTATTTGTTTTATATAAACCAAAATAGACTAATATATTCGTATGAGGAGCATTTTGACGGATGCGATTTTGGAGCATTTTGACGGATGCGATCGAAAACACAAAAAGTGCAATGGAATGAAACGAAATGAATGGATGTGAATGAAACGTACAATTGCACTCGAAAAGAGTGCAATGCCAATGGAAAGTATTCCATTGCACTCTTGGGAAATGGAATTTTCTATCCAATATCACGTGACCATAAACAGCCAGAATTCAATAAGGTATTATAGATCAGAATTCAATAAGGTATTATATAATACTAGTTTACCCACAGGGTAGTGAATGCTGCCTTGGTATAGCATTGTTCCCAAATCTTTAATATTTTAAAGAATAAGGGTAAGAAATATTTGTAATGAATTGGAATCATCCATAATTTATACACTTGAATGTGCCGTACGATAACTCGGCGCTCGAAGTTTCGTATCGAAAGAAAAACAGCCGAACAGGTACGATGGCTAACAAGAATGAGTGTACTTATCAACTTATCTAACGCGGGGAAAAGATCAAAATGGCAGGTATGGCTGTGATATCTAGTATATAAAATTGTATAGACAATTTGCCTACAAAAACGGTTCTAGGTCAAAACGGCCCCGCTTCAATAATCATATGATTTAGACCTGTCGTTAAAGGGCAATGACAATGACATGCAGGTGACATTTAACATGTGCGAGTGTGCGTCTCACTAAATTTGCGTGTTTAATAATGTTTATCAAAGAAGGCAAAAATATATACAAGACAACCTCAGTGATTTACCTCACATGTGGAATCTGTTCACTTACGCACTGCCTTGTGATGCAGTACAAGTACAAATACAAAAGACAAAGCATTTTTAAAGGCTTTAAATCCTAAAACATAATTAAATCATACGGCACATTCAAGATTTTAATTTTAATATCGTATTTCAGCCGCGTTTATACTGCTTGGCGCGCATTTGCTGCGTTATATTAATTTATATACCTATGTTATATACACAGATTTATTACTAATAAATCAACACTACATGATAATATAGAACTCACAAAGTGCAGTCACCTTTTTATATAAATAAACCTTTTTAAAAGCATGCCTTTTTTATTGCAGACCAGAGGCAAAAAAGCACAGCCACATACCAAATTTAAGCAATCGTGAGATTATATACATGGAAAGAATATGGAAATTTTGTTAAAAGCACCCCGTATAATGACGAAAGCACCGCGCATAATGCTCGAATCACTGCGTATAATGGCGAACGCACCGCGTATAATGGCGAAAGCTCCACCACGTATAATGCTCGAGTCGAACGACTGCGTATAATAGCGAAAGCACCGCGTATAACGCTCGAACCACTGCGTATCGACAAAATGCCGTTTGATCACTTACGCCAGCTATGGCTTTCCATAAAAAGTCATAAAAGAAAACCAAAGATGAAAGATGATCACATTGCTTGTTTGCCTTATGCCTGTTTATTAGGCAAGAATAGCCTGCCGGCTAAGATTAGGGTTGCTGCCTCAATCGCTAATCGATAAAGATTAGGGCTGCTGCCTCGCTCGCTCGCTTCACGCTCGCTCGCTACGGCAGCAATAAATAATGTATAACAATGCAAACTATATGCATTATACCCCAATAAGTTAAATTAAATAACTTACCTCTTTTTTTCTTTCTTTGCTGTTCCAGATTTCTTCCTCCACTTGAGGAAAACAACAACCGATGCAGTAAACAAGCCAGCAAGGGACAGTACAAGACCTATAGTCAATGCAATTGTACCACCACCATCGTCTTCTGATTTTTTGTTGAGCATTCCATTTATTTGAGTACATCTACCTTTATTGTACACGACATCAACTTCACGTGTCTTGTTACCTGAAGTGTTTATCAAAACATTAAATGGCAACACGCAATCATTGTACTTCTGGTACGTAACATCTCCAAAACACTGGGAAGATGAGGCTGAGAGTTCCCAAATATAGTTGGTTGGCGAAAAAACCCTCATGACGTCTGTCACGTCGTGGTTATGTAAGTTATGTTGCCCAATACAAAATATATACATTAACATTTACCCTAACCCTAATTCCTGGCCTAACACTACCATAGCTGGACACAAGTACCTAAGATAGAAGAAAAGTACTTGAAAACATACTATGGATTAATGCATGTGACCAGCAAAGACACTCAAATCGGTTGTGGCCAACGCCATACAGGTAGCATCTCTTAAAAAGTTTTGCGTCCATCGCTGAACTCTGAAGTATATGCACAAGTTTCTTATGGGATCTTATGCAGATGCTTTTGAGTCATCGCTCATTGAAATGTCGCGTTTTGATCGAGCACAATCTAGGCTAGTGTGGGAGCGAAACAACTAACCCCCTGATCCAGGGAAAGCATGCAGAAACTGTTGTCGGGGTTTTGTCAGTGCGGGTTCAGAGTTCTGACAAACCCAAATCCAAGAGAAGTTTTACTAAGTGTATAAGGCATTAAGAAGCCGATAATGTTAAAGATGCGGTACAGTGCGTTTTACACAGGTGTAATTGGAGTCTCCAGCTCGTGATACAGTAAAACTGTAAAACTAAACAAAACTGAGACGTGCGAATGGACTGCACCGCATCTTTAACGTGAAATTATATTTTTCTTTCACATATTAAGAAAGAAATATGAGAAGGGAAAAATCAACCGAACGATTTAACCCAAATCTGGTGTTTGCTGTTACACTAAAACGACAGTTTTAGTGTAACAATGTGAAAATGCTGTACCAATATGAAAATGCTGTGCTGAGTGGTTATATTACTACCTTAAAAAACAAGCAGAAACTCGACGTTTCGAGCGAAGGCCCTATGTAGTCTATGTTGGCTTAAAGTTTGTAACGTCAATAAAAGCACACCGAAAACAACAGCACAATCAACCTCATATCCACGCTCTTTGCAGCACCATACCGGGAGAGTTATGATATTAGGCATACATGCGATTGTTAAAAGAAATTTGTGGTGATAGATCGTCAAATCCCTCGTAAAGTGTATCTAAACTCCATGTTCTTTGTGCAACATTCGAATCTCGTAGAAACTCACCTAAATTCGCCGCGTTTTTCTTGTTCGTCAGATAAAGTTGATGAATACAGATAAGTTCCTCAGTCTGATATTGTTCAACATCAGTAATACGCAAGTAAAGAGACCCGGAAATTCTGTCATGACATTTCAAGCTAATACTGTGATTAAGAATGTGATTCTCAGAGAATGGGCAGTTACATGAAGTACTAATACTGGCAGCAACATGACTCTGAAATTCCGCGAGGATGGTAGGATCTCCCTAGTGAAATTGAAATAGAGTGATATGGTAAATACTAAAATTCCACAAATTCAAGTGATAAACTTGTTCATAACTGTTTCACTCAGTTCAAAATGTCAAATAACTAGGCAGAGCCTCACCTGTAAGCTGTAGCAATCTTCAGTAACAAAATTTAGATGCAATCTTGATGTGTCGTGAAATGTGTCATTCACTATATAAAGATAATTAAAATATTTTATAATACAGCATCCGAACACCGATCGGCCAAGAGCCGTGTTGATATAACTCAATGTCAACACGGAAACGTCGGAACCCCCCCCCCTCACATTTCTTTGTGCTATATTATAAAACAAATATAAAACATCCCCCCGTATTGATACACAGTTATACACAATTCCACACAATTTCTCGTTTTCCCAATTCCCACTCGTGTTGATATTTCTGTATATAAACACGGAAAATGTTTTATATTTGTTAAATATCAACTATAAGATTAAAATTATTATATGCATGCATATAAATATATAATTTATTATCTCCCCCCCCCCACTCTCCTCCGCAGAATCTAAAATTAAAATACCGGGTGTCCCAAAAAAAAGTACTCCTATTTGATTCGTAATAATTTCTAAACAAGTAGAGCTTTTAAAGAGAAATAACTTGCATTAAATAGAGGAAGGACTAACTTAGATTTTGATATATTACAGTTGTATTTTACTTAAAAATTCACGGAGATATTAATGTTGAAAATCGGGAGCATACTTTGGGATGTGTCTAAAATTAGCGAAAATCGGCATATCAAATATTAACTCCAGCGTTTGTTTGCTTAATGACATATCAGGCTAAATTGTATTTCAGCGAATTATCGTTAGGGTTTGTAGGGGATACGGCGTAGATTTAGACGTCTTACATGTAAGTCTTAGCTCATTGTTTCCTGAAATATGAACGTTCGAAATTATGCAAGTATTTAATATTAGGTCTTCACAAACTTAAAAGTACATGAAAGACTGACCATGGAAGGCAGGCGCTTAAATTTTTCTTAAATAGCCTAATTTTTTTATGTTTTTAATGGGTTCAAACAGACTGAGTTGATTATTTCTCAATTAGAGCAGGATGAATATTAGTCTTTATTGAAGGAATAATATTGCTTTTTGCAAATACACAACACCGTATCAACGCTACTATTTTGTTACGTTTTGTTCCAAAAATGTTGCATGGCCCTGGGGAGTTGCTTAATTGTTATGTTTTAAGCCCCGTTTACACGAGCAAATTTTATTTGACAAATTTCATATGTCAAAGATATTTTGCTCGTGTAGATGATACCTTTGTGACAAATTTATTGTGACAAATTCATTTGAACAAAAGCTAGCATACCAGCTTTTGATCAAATGCATTTGTCGTATTAAATTTGTCAAATAAAATTTGCTCGTGTATAAACGGGGCTTTATGAAGTTGTATGGTTTGATTGTGTTTCATATAATTCTCAGTTTACTCTGAACTTGCCAAGATTAAGAAAAGACAAAAGAGTTTGGGTGTTATTAGCAAGATTTCAGAACGTTGCAGAAGTTAGAAGAGCTTCACAATTCCATTGTGACAGCATGCCCTAATTCTGAACTACGAACGATCCATGACGATTCTTCGCGATGCAGTGGTCTCATATGAAGTAAGGAAACGTATTCGTGCTAAGAACACAGGAGAATTTCGGACGAATAAATCTTGCTTGTATTTTGTAAATATAATAATACTTTGTTTCATAATAAACAATTTGTCAAGTGTCATTTATTTTCTGGTAATAGTGCATGTTTCAGTCGGGCAAATCTTGATTAATATTTGATACGCCGTTTTTTGCATATTTCAGACACATCCAGAAATATGCTCCCGATTTTAAAGATTAATATCTCCGTGAATTAAGTGAAATACAACTGTAATATATCAAAATCTAAGTTAGTCCTTCCTCTATTTAATGCAAGCTATTTCTCTTCAAAAGCTGTATTTGTTTAGAAGTTATTACGAATCAAACAGGAGTACTTTTTTTTGGGACACCCGGTACATTGTAGTGGTAACATAAGGATAGTAGATAATTGTAGTGCAGATAACGTAGGGATAGAGAGTGATCCCCCGCTAACCCTAGCTATAACGCCTAAAATTACTCCAAACGTAATCGAAACCAGTGATCATGCACGCCGATTTAAGTGCAAAACTGGGATCAATCGAGGCATCAGGTATCGAGGTATACTACGGTAGACAAAGTTGAAAGTTGGGTGCCAGTGTACTGTAGATATTTTTTGTTTTTATTTTTCATATAGCTGCATCATACACACACACACACACACACACACACACACACACACACACACACACACACACACACACACACACACCCACACGCACACAAGCCGACAACCCCACATATAGTGAAGTTGATAAAATCATAGATCACGCTTCCCCTCAACAATTGCGTGTGCGTTAATAAAAATTCCTTCAGATTCCGACTCCCGCAATTTAACCATTTTCATCCCTCAAAATAATTTCTAATTTCAAGTCTCGCAATCGGGATCAAGTGAACAACAAGTCTACGACCCTCGTTCTTTCATCCTCGGACGAAAATAGAACGAATTTTTGCAACGTACGAGACATGCACGGCATGTCATGCACGTGAAAGAAAGTTTAGATTTAACCGTGCATCCGTGCGTGAATGAAAGATGAAACAATACGAAAAATAAACGTGATTCGTTTCTTAAATGTGAACAGTTTTTTTTACTTTTTTCAAGAAATTCTTGTTGTTTTCCTAATGTTATCTTCGAAAAGTAACTTGATGTAAATGTAAAAATATTAATCCGTGAATTTTTTTGTATCTTGACGTGATCGTTATTGCCTTGATAGTTTCGTGAACCTGAACGAGATTTACGCGGATTTTGCGTGATTCGAGAGTCGAGAATAAATTATTATTTTTTCGTGCATTTTGTGGAGGTATGGTGGACTCAACTCAAACGCCTTACATGACGCTGCTCCCAACGAGATTGTTTCTTACTTTACACGGGTAAAAATTGATCAGGTTGTTCGGCGTTGTTCAAAACAGTAGCGAACAATGTTGTGCTGCACCCCGTGAACAATATTGTTAACAAGTTGTTGAACCATCAATGTTGTTGCAACTTGTTAACATAACCATATCATACACGCATGAGTGCAACCATATCATACACGCATGAGTGCAACCATATCATACATGCATAAGTGCAACCATATCATACACGCATAAGTGCAACCATATCATACATGCATGAGTGCAACCATATCATACACGCATGAGTGCAACCATATCATACACGCATAAGTGCAACCATATCATACATGCATGAGTGCAACCATATCATACACGCATGAGTGCAACCATATCAGACATGCATGAGTGCAACCATATCATACACGCATGAGTGCAACCATATCATACACGCATGAGTGCAACCATATCATACACGCATGAGTGCAACCATATCATACACGCATGAGTGCAACCATATCATACACGCATAAGTGCAACCATATCATACATGCATGAGTGCAACCATATCATACACGCATGAGTGCAACCATATCATACACGCATAAGTGCAACCATATCATACATGCATGAGTGCAACCATATCATACACGCATGAGTGCAACCATATCATACACGCATGAGTGCAACCATATCATACACATATGAGTGCAACCATATCATACACGCATGAGTGCAACCATATCATACATGCATGAGTGCAACTATATCATACACGCATGAGTGCAACCATATCATACACGCATGAGTGCAACCATATCATACATGCATGAGTGCAACCATATCATACACGCATGAGTGCAACCATATCATACACACATGAGTGCAACCATATCATACACGTATGAGTGCAACCATATCATACACGCATGAGTGCAACCATATCATACACGCATGAGTGCAACCATATCATACACGCATGAGTGCAACCATATCATACACGCATGAGTGCAACCATATCATACACGCATGAGTGCAACTATATCATACACGCATGAGTGCAACCATATCATACACGCATGAGTGTAACCATATCATACATGTATGAGTGCAACCATATCATACACACATGAGTGCAACCATATCATACACGCATGAGTGCAACTATATCATACACGCATGAGTGCAACCATATCATACACGCATGAGTGCAACCATATCATACACGCATGAGTGCAACCATATCATACATGCATGTGCAACCACTTTGGTTGTGTTTCACATGAAAAATACCTTGGTCACAAACTTCTCCTTCATATCCTGGCAAACAAAGGCAAATAAATCCATTTTCTTGATCTTGACATTTACCACCAAATTTACATGGTTTGATGCACAGTCATTGACATTCACCCCACAGTTAGCTCCTAAATAATTGAATGCAACAAACATAGATAGTTACCACGAAGTAATTTGTTATTATAATTACTGATCTACACTCTACATAACTAGTTTGCTTTGTAGAATTGACAGAAAACCGGCATACAAATGATAAAGCTAGTTTATGTTATATATTGTACCCAATACGGCATTTTTCACTACTGACATACGGTACAATTTATGGTAGCTATTTTAATGATACGATATCGTAGACTAGCTTTTTTATCCAACAAAGCTCTCTGTTCAACGGAAAATACTAAAGAAAATCATCGTCTCTATTTTTTCTGCAATATGTTCATTTACGCCAGTGGAGTCGATCTTTGGAAATTCGTTGGAGTCGATCTTTGGAAATTCGTATATAGATGACACCACCATTGCGGAAGAAGTCCCCAAAGAAACTACAAGTGAGATGAGATACAAGATCAGTCAGGCGACCTAAAGTTTATCCTGAACAAGGACAAGCTAGTGTACGTAAAGAAACATCAAAGCGCCTGTACCTTTTACGGAAGTGCGTATTTGGTTGTGTTTCACATGAAAAATACCTTGGTCACAAACTTCTCCTTCATATCCTGGCAAACAAAGGCAAATAAATCCATTTTCTTGATCTTGACAT